AATCCACTCACCTCAGCCTCCCAAGGCACGGGATTACAGGCTGAGCCACTGAGCCCGGTTTGGGCTGGGATTTTTAAGGGGATCATGGAGGGCGAGAGGTTGGAGAATTGGGGTTGTTGGTTGGTCAGGGCAAGGTGGATGAAATCAGAATGTGGACATTGCATTCTTTGCTGACATAGCAACTGACTTCATGGGGTCCTTCAGACCAACTGATGTCAGTGTTTCATCAGTATGCAGGATCTAAAGGAATACCTTAAAGAGAAAATGGAACATTTCATAATATTCAAGTTTTTGTCTATGGAACTGTTAAAGGAAACTATAATCTTGAACAGGGTCAACATGATTTGGAGGCTACAGGTAACAAACACCTGTGAGGAAGGGGTCAGAGAGCAACTGACCTCATGACTAATGCTGAGTGTTCTGCATGCTTGGCTTATTTTCACTTCTCCCCCTCCCTTCTTCTCTGATTAATTTTATAAAGTTTATAGGGATGATTTCATAGAGACCAGGGAGGAGAGAACACAGACTGCCCTGGTTACACACGGGGGAACTGAGGCTGCAGAAGGGAGTGCCGGGCCAGATCACCTGGGAGACGTGACAGGGAAGGGCTTCTAGGAGGGTGTAGGGTTATCTTCTCTCTAGAGGGCTTAAGTGGAAATGAGGGGAAAGATGAGGAAGGGAGAGACCCCTCCAGGTGGACCCAACAGCCACGCTGTGAACAATCCTAGAGACTTTAGGCAGGGGACTCTTGCTTTGCTGTCTCACACCTCCTCTCCCACCCCACAGGTCAGCCCAAGGCTGTCCCCACAGTCACTCTGTTCCTGTCCTCCTCTGAGGAACTCCAAGCTAACAAGGCTATACTGGTGTGTCTCATAAGCGACTTCTACCCAGGAGCGATGACAGTGGCCTGGAAGACAGATGGCACCGCCATCACCCAGGGCGTGGAGACCACCCAACCCTCCAAGCAGAGCAACAACAAGTACGTGGCCAGCAGCTACTTGACGCTGACACCTGACCAGTGGAGAGCTCATGGCAGATACAGCTGCCAAGTCATGCATGAAGGAAGCACTGTGGAGAAGACAGTGGCCCCTGCACAGTGTTCTTAGACCCTGGCCCTCCCCTCACACATGTGACCCTGGAGCTCAGGATCCCAATGGAGGGGTCTCCTCCCACTCAAGTCATCCAGCCCTTCTCCCTGTACCCAATAAACCCTCAATAAATATCCTCATTGTCAATCAGAAACCCTCTCCATCTCATTATTCTTTGTCTCATATTTCAGTTGACATTTCCCTTGGGTTCTCAGGGGTGTGGGAACTCCTGCACCCAGTGGGACAGTTGCCCCAGGCAGAGGTGCAGAGGCTCCCTGGGGCATCTTCCCAGGAAATAGACTAGGGCACAGGTCAAACATCAGTCCCTGTGGCCTCTCCTTCCCCTCTTCCTTCTCCCAGCAAGACCTCCACTCCTTACCTCTTTCCTGAATGAAGTTGTCCCTGACTGAGCCTGCAAATATGCCCTCTGCCCTCTGCCCCTGCCCCAGACCCTCTATCTATCCTGTATCCTCTTTCCTCAGCCTAGAAACTCTGCTCAGGGCCTGGATGCCCTATGCTTCCCCCAATCTTGCCCCCTCCCTTTCTCCCTCTCTGTCCAGCTCAGTTCCTCCCCTTCTCCCCTTCCCCCAGTCACTCCTGAGAGCTGGACTGTCCAAGACACGCCAGCACCATCAACTTCAAAAGTTCTTAAATTCTTAGCTTACCTTGATTCTTCACCCGATAGGAGGTTCAGAGATGTAAGAGGAAGAGGAGGAGACTAGGAAGGAAACTCACACAAAAGATCTGCAGGAGGCTCAGGACACTTGTCAAAGATAAGCTCTGAGCTACCCAGGAACCAGTGCAAGGAGGGAAATGGGTGCTTCATCATTTCTATGCAATTGAGGAGAGCTTTTCTGGAGGAAAATTGGTGTTCTCAACGGAGGCCAGGCTTTTTGCACTACAATTAAAAGTGGTGCAATTACAATTATAGTTTTCACCTAAGGCCTCAGCTTTGAGGGGGATTGGGCTCTGACACATAGGTGAGTACCTAGTATCCCCAGGATGTGGCAGCAACTGAGAGCCAGCTTATGGGAAGTACTTACAGTGCCTCTTGCATGGAGCCCTTGGTGCAAATCAGCCACTGCCACAGTAACCACCAGGTCACCACTGCTGGGGGGTGGGAGGTGTTTGCATAGCAGCAATTCCCTGATTTTCCCCCCCAGGGTGGTCCATCCAGGCCAGCTTTTGCCCCTGAATGTAGGGCATGTCCTTGACATAAAACCACAACACGCTGCACCACCACACACCCAAGCCTACTCGCAACCCTGCCTGATGCCACCTTGGGTTTCCCCAGACCTCTGGGAGGCTCCTCACTTATGCTCCTGCTCTGCCACCAGGGAGCCAAAGGGTAATGGGTGTTCTCTCAAGTGTGTGACACATAAAGTCACCTTCCATCTTCTTTGGGGGTGTTATTTATTGGGAACATGTCTCTATTGAATCGTGGGCCCCAGCCTGAAAACTAGGTCCCACATCAGGACTTTCCCTGAGAGGTTCTGGCTGCTCTCTGAGATGATGGTGTGGGGAGAGAGGACATGACCCAGCCCACTCAGCCCTCATGGGTGGCTTTTGCTCTGAAGGGGGTTAAAGGGGGTGGGGACAGCAGTCAGGTCTCCCTGGGTGTCTGTTTGTGGCTCCTATAACAAATGATCATAGATTTAGTGGCTTACAAATCATGCGTTTATTCTTTCACAGGTCTGGAGGCCAGAAGTCTAAGGTGAGTCCGGGAGAGCTAAAATCAAAGTGTCAGCAGGGCCATGCTCCTTCCACAGGCTCTGGGAAAGTCAATTTCCTTGCCTTTTCCAGATTCTAGAGGACGCCATGTCCCTGGCTCAGTGGTCCCTTCCTCCAGCTTCAAAGTCTGCAGCATCTTCAGATCTTTAGCTCTCCCTCCCTCCCTCTCCCCCTCCTCTGCTTCCTTCCCTCACTCTGACCCTCCTGCCTCCTCCTTCCCTTATAAAGACCCCACCTTGCACCCACTCAGATAATGTGGGGTAACCTCCCACCTCAGCCTCCTAAACATCATCATATCTGCAAAGTCCCTGTGGCCACACGCCATGGTACTTTGACAGGTTCCTGGAATGGGACACAGCCGTTCTTGGGGAACCCTTATTCAGCCAACCATGGCTCCATTTCCAGCTCCCTGAGATTTTGGGAAACCTCTCCCATTTCTCTGCCTTTCCCTGTGTCCTGCCCAGTCTGGTCTGGGCCACCCCTGAGGATCTTCCTAGCCCAGGCCCAGTCCTTCCCTGCCCCCTGGTCCCCTGCGGCCCCTTCTCTTCCTGGTGTCCCTGGGAAGGGACTGTGTGTTTAGCCACAGCCCTGGGACATTTTCTTTCCACAGGCTCCCTGAGGCTAAATGCTCTCCAGGCCAAACCACCACCCTTGAAGGAAAAACCTGTTATGATCCTCACCCTACAACAGAGACACTGCAGCCCAGAGAGGAGTGACCTGTCCAAGATTACACCAGGGACTCAAACCTAGGCCACCTCCAGACTCAGCTCCAACCCCAAGTGCCCAGCCACCTTCAGTCCACCCGGTTAGACCTTCCTGCTTCATCCAGTTTCCTCCTTGAAGAGCTCAGAGCCCACTGCACACATGACCTAAGGGGACAGAGTTACTTGGGTCAACAACAGATGGAGGGAGACAGGGGCCTTGAGTCAGAGTGGGTCTTCTACATAAAAAATCAAGGTCAATGCACACAAGGGAGAGGCTGTGAGAGTGTCCCTTCTTCCTGGAGATACCACCACAGTCCTGGTTCTGAGAAGTGAGGGTTACTGCAGGGCTTAACATGCCCCCACCACCGGGTGCATCAGTCCCTGGCAAGAGGCCAACTCAACCCAAACCCGGTGTCCTGAGTATAAAGCCCAAATGACAAGCCTCATAACACTAGATAATGACCATTGGCATCCACGTTGCTCCTGTAGATTGGATTTCTGACATTAGAATCATATAAGGCTTTTGTTTAAGAGTTGCTTAAGTAGGTCCTGAACTCCAGCAAACAGCCAATGCTAATCAACTTAAAGACCCCACAGAGGACGATACGGTTTCATCTCCCTGTCTCATGACTTCACCCTGCACTCTTTGACCAATCAATGCTCTTCACACATAGACCCACTCCAAAACCTTAAACTCCCTAGCCCCCAAATCCTCAGAAAGATGGATTTGAGGTTTCCTCTCCTCAGGGCCACTGGAAGCTGGAACCTTTGGCAACTCTTTCACTGTCTGTGCAACTCGTAAACTACTGGAATGTAAAAGACTTGCTGCCCCAGCCCTGGCCTGTCCCCAGCCTTGCCAGACCTTGAGCTTGAAAACTGCCCAGGGCTGTTGATTGCGCTCTCCTGGTGGCAGCCCTGCCAAGCACTGTTCTGAGTCACCATTGGAGGTGGGCACTCAAAGGCAGGGGCTGTACCCCCACATTCCTCAGAGGTTCAGCTTGGAACTGGGCCAGCCACTGCTGAGCCCCTCGAGTCGCTGCTCAACTGTGGAATTGCTCCCAGCACTGCTGCAGTGCTACCTTCCCTGCCACCACCTGTCATGGCCACCCCTGGACACTTCCAGGGAAGCTGGTGTCTTCATGTCATGGGATCCTAGATCATCCCAGGAAGTAGGTGTCATACCTTACAGATGAAGAGACAGAGGTTCTGAGAGCTGAGGGAGCTGCTGGGGCCGCAAAACTGGTAAAGGAGGACTGTACACAGTGGGCATCCATCCAGCCCCCAACCTAAGGTCAACCCAAGGTCACCCCTTTCTTGATGCCAGACTGAGGGGACCAAGCCTGTCCAGATCCTACCAGTGTCAGGGCAGCACAGAGGGTAGGTGCCCAAGTCCCCAATCCAAAGTCACCCTTCCCTCCTGAGGAAGCTTTGTGAGGCCAGGAGAAGGTTCTGAGCACATGGATCCCCTTGTGGCTGG